TACAAGGAAATGAACAGACCAGTTGAAGGTTGCAGGTTACATTAAACCTGCACAGTTAAACATTCTGTTGCTAGAATAAAACAAGTCACGCTCACACCCTGGACCAACACATTCTGTAGGCAAATTCCTGGGTGGAATCCAATGTTATCTCCTTAAGGGAACTGTAACCTTAGTTGGAGCCTTAGACTTTTGTCTGAGGTCAAAACATATCTACTTCTCTATTCCTGAAATACAAGGTCTGGCTATTAGCCACACCTGTTGACAATAACTTTGAGAGAGCAGAATTCTCTGATCTATATCTAGGTAGGACCTTTGTTTGATTTAGAAACACAGTAACTTTGAAGGAATAGAGGTAAGTTCCAACTCTCTGACCTTTGGTCAGCGTGGAAACAGGCTCACATTTTTGGGCCTCCACAACTTGCCTAGACTGGATTGGCCTGTGAGAATTTCTGTAGGGAAATGTCTAGATTGCTTTAGTTGATGCAGGGGGAGCCAGACCATTATGGGTAGCATCATACCCTCGGTCAGTGGTCCAAAGATGTGTGGGAAAGCTAGCTGGGCAGGAGCCTGCAGGAGCACCAACAAGGAGCATTCCCTATAGTTTCTGCTTCATGTTCCTGCCCTGATTTCCCTCAAGGAGGGACTGAAATAAGAATTTCCTCCCCTCAGCTGCTTTTGGTGAGATTGTTGCATTGCAGCAGCAGAGATCAAACTACGACATATGTTCTTTCCCAGTTGTCTGTGGAGGCTTTGTTGAATGACTGGGACAGTGGTGGCCTGTGCCTAGGTGTTAGATGCCCTGGCAAAGCCCTTGCAGCCGTCCCATTATAGCCACGGGTCCACATTTCCACTGTTCTTCCAGCATCTTTTCTCCTTGTGAATTCTCCCTCTGTTTCTCAGAGCATCTTCCTACCCATAGTTGTCCAGGGTGGGTCGGAACATCTTCCTACCCGTGGTTGTCCTGGATGGGTCAGAGCATCTTCCTACCCGTGGTTGTCCTGGATGGGTCTGGGGGAAGTGGTAGTCAGATGCCCAAGGAAGGTGTGACTTAATAACCCAGGGTTGAATGAAAGCAGAAGGGTGGGGCAGATTGGAAGGAAGGTAGATCTAGACAAGGAATGGAATCCATTTTTCATAACTGTGATTATCTAGTGTGAGTTTGGCTTTGGTGACTGTCTTGGACAATCATGGCATTGGAAAAGCACTTGGGGTTAGAAATCAAGACACCTGGGTTTGTCTCCAGTTCTTTTACTTGTTTTCCCAGCCGATGCTTAGTGAGATGGCTCCACGCGCCAGGAATACACCTGTTAAAAACAGACCCCGGAACTCTATGGAGAGATAGTAAAATACATAATCCACTTACAAAAGAGATCACAACAGTGCGAGGTGCCCTGTCTTCCTAGTCCTGAGCAGAGGAGTGCCTTTTCAAAGTTCCCTCTGGGGCTGTGGCCAGGGTTCATCTCAGTAACCTCATCTCATAGAGAACCCTAAGATGCTTGCTAAAGCTCCAGGTCAAGATGCTTCCATAACTTTGCTCTACCATGGCTACAATCCCTTAAGGGCTCCAAGTTGCCCTCAAAAGCATGAGGACCTGGGTATGGAGCCCCAGGCCCATGTAAAGACTTGCTGAGGTGTGGGTGCTGTAATCCACTGGGGAGGCAGAGACATGAGGTGTTTGGGGCTTACTGAACAGCCAATCTAACCAATTGGTGAGCTCCAAGGTCAGTGGCAGACCCCATCTAAACAGTAAGGTGGGGAGCAATAGAGGAAGGCATCCGACTTTGACCTCTAACCTCCACATGAGCAAATGTGTGTATGTACACCACACGCAAAGGCACAGATCCACATGAACACATACATATACTGTGTATAGACATTACACTACACACATAGACACAGACATACACAGAGACACACAGAGATAGAGACAGACACACAGACACAGAGAGAGACACAGAGAGGGACAGATACATGCACACATCCAGAGAGAGAGAGAGAGAGAGAGAGAGAGAGAGAGGTGTCTTTTACATCCCGAGCTTCAGTGTGAAGCTCTAATTGACGAACATGTTCTAGTGTTTAAAAAAAGCTTGCGATTATAGTCTTCTGGCTCAGGAATTGAACGGAAGGGGCTTTTAGTATGACAGCCAGACCATCCCTGCCATGCTAGCATATAACACTGCAGCCACTTCACTGTTTACATTCCTAAGTGTGAATTTAGGCTTCTTGTTTGAGATCATCAGTCTCATAGGCTGAGATAATTTGGGAACACTAATTCTAGCATTCTAGAGCATTTAGCGTAGGTCTTACTTCCACACTTGCTGTCCCATATGCCAATCATCCCTGGGAATGTCCCCCAAAGGCACACTGAAGTGTGTTTTACTTTCATCTCCTGGGCATCCATCTCTCAAGCCAATCAAGATGATCGGCAAGATGCTGCAGACTTCACCCCGTGGTTCTCAGCTCCGGGTTATTCTCTAAGTTAGCATGACTCGAAACATTGCCATCTCTTCTCTCTCTTTTTTTTTTGTAGTTGTGAGAACCAAACTCAGGGCCTCACATTGACGTTGTATGTAATTTTAGCACTTAGGGGGCTGTGGCAGGAGGATTTCTATGAGTCTAAGCTCAGCCTAGGTTGTAGAGTGAGACCCTACCTCACCCTTTCCCTCTTCACCAAAGTCCAGGGCTTCACGCATGTTGAGCAAGTGCTCCACCGTTGCACAACACCCCCAGCCTTTGAATTTTATTTGTTCAAATGGCTACAGAATACTATAGCATCCACCCAACATTTTCCCCTTCAATTTTATTACTCATTTTTAATATTTACTGCATGGCTATATCTATAAAAATTGACTCTGGGAAAGCAGGAGAATAAATACACTTGGAGTTCGGTGCTAGATAAAAAAGAAATAAAAATAGTAGTCATATCAATAAGATGAGGGATGGAGGGCAGGGTGAACCAGGAAGCATGGGAGAGAGGGCTCAGCTTTGCCTGGCAGCATTAAGATGTCCTTGGTTTGTTCTGAGCCACTCTAACAGGCAGGCATCCAAGTGACATGTCCAACATTGTGTGAAATCCAGGCACGATACCTACGGCCTCTCTGACCCCTGGGTCCAACAAATGCTCATTGGATTTGTTTTAAAGCAAGTCAGGGAGTGGAGGGTGGAGAGTGGGCAGGAAGGAGGCTTTGGGGGTAGAGACGGTTGAGGGATGGTGGAAACCTAAGCCAGGCAGAAGCAGTGAGAACGACAGAGGACAGGAGAGCCAGGATCGGTCAGGAAGGCAGTATTGAGGCAGGGGTGGAGACCAGTGTGCAGCTCTCTCTGCTTTCTTGGGTAGCTGGGGGCTGGAAATGCTGGTCTGAGGTTACAGGGAGGGAAACCATGAGCTTCAGCCTTTGAGGCCTAGGAGAGATGCAGTGGGAAGTCTTTCCTTCTCGGTTCTGACTTTGTTTCAAATTTCCTGCTAGCTACTGACTCAGAGATGACTTCTAGGTGAGGGCCAGGATGAGTGAGGGCAGTGGTGAGCTTCACCCCCCTCGAGGATGCTTACACCGTATCTCAGGCTCTTCACTCTGGCCCAGCTGGTCTCTACTATACCCGTGGCCACAGTCTTGGCACAGAAATGCCCATGCGTCTTTGCGCACTACTGTGTCTGTGAATGTGGCTAACTCGTTTCAGTTTTCCTGGGGATCGCTTTGTTCTAAAGACAAACCGTGGTTAATCAACACAATCCTCGTCATTTCCTGGCAAACCAGAGTTGTTAATCACCCGGCAAGAGTGCTCAATGTTTGGTATCCACAGAACATTCTAGAGACCTGAGATTGTTGATCTCCATTGTTAGCTTGATTGAGAAACATCCAGGCGATGTTTACCCGAAGTGTGCCTCGGGCTGGCCTGAAAGTGTTTCCAAAGAGGCTTAATGAAGGAGAAAAGACATCCCCGAATGTGGACAGTACTCTCCTATAGGTTAGCTGCAGATGGAATTACAGATGGCCGGCTAGCACAGGCGTTCTTTCCCCCGCTTCCTCTGCAGAGCTTGGGCAGTTCCACCATGCCGTCCTATGGTGGGTGCCTGCCCACCACTGTGGACTGAAACCTCAGAAACCATGAGCCAAAGAAATCCCCTCTATCCCTAGTAAGGTGTGTTCTCCTAGCAACAAGGAAATGACTAGCCCCTTGGAAGAAACACAATTGTATCAAAGCACAGTTCCTAAGTTGATGTGCAACTGAGAAGTGTTTGGGAACTTCTCGGCAGAAGGAAGGAGCCCACGATGGACTCCTTTGGTCCCAGGAAGGTCACCCCAGGGCAGTGGGGCATAACAGCAGTGGCCTCGGCAGTGTGGTAGCTGCAGCGGTTCCACCACCTCTTCTGAAGTTGAGCCAGGATCCCCCGCTTCACACTGAGTGAGAAGGAAATGAATGAAGAATACGCAGTCTGGGCTCTCCAGCCCTCAGACCACAGCTAGTCCTAAACAGAAGTTCCCGGGGAACACTACCCGCCCCCCTTCCTGTCACTGCAGAGCACGCTACAGGAAGCTAAGGACATTGTTTCAGGAAAGGCTGCTTTTTCTCTTCAAAAAACCACAGAACACTGAAACCAAGTGATTGTGAGCATTCGGACAGCGAGTCAGATGGAGGAGGCGCGTGGGTGGTTCGTGTTCCCGCACCTTGGGCTTCCCCTACACAGACCCCTCCACCCACTCATTGTGAGGGAGAGGTGCACGATTGTTAGGGCGCACCTCGCCTTGCCTCCTGTAGTAAGCACAAGAAGGCCTTTGGCCAATCTAGTCCTAAGTGTCTCTCTACAGCCAGATGTAGCAACCCCCTCACGGCTCTCCTCCAAAGGTTACATGGTTCCCACAGGGTGCAAGAAAGAGTTATTGAAAAACAGCAGGTCTTTTTTTTTTTTTTTCCTTAACTTCAGCACTTCTGGTAAATCTCTGATCCAGCATCTAGTGGTTAACCACTGATACAGGAAGTGACATTTAACGTTTTTATCACTCAGCCAGAAATGGAAGAACAAGGCGAGTCTGTGTTTAGGGAAGATGGATGGCTGCCCACCACCTTCGCCTTAAAGACACATCACCTCTTTTTGCGCTTGCGGGACCGATGGTCAGTGGGTTTCCCTCCAGCCTGCTCACTTCCCTGTTGGGGTGAAGCCCAAGTGTCAAGAGGATGTCCACAGCCTTGCTGCTCGGGGTGGAAACCCAACCTTGCTGGCTGTTGATAGGGGCAAAGCGGATAGTGCCTGGTTCCCCTTTCTCAGGAGCCGTTGCATGCGGGGACAGGCAGGAAGGAAACGAGTCGGGATGCCTGTGTCCCAGGCACATCAGACCACAGACTCAGCCTGGGGTGCCCGAGTGCACAAGGCCACCTGGCCAGCTGAGACTTGGAATAAAATCCTGTTGGCCATGGCAAGTAGGGCAGTCACCTGAGGCCTTGTCAACACCTGCGCCCTCCGCTGTCCTCATTCCTGGCTCCCCCTCGTTCCCCCACAACCCCCTGCCAGGTGCTCTTAAAGCAAATGCTGGACACTGCAAGCCACGGTGGGGGAGGGGAGGGTCAGTGCATTCTGTTTCACTATGTCATTTTCACCATTCTATTTTTTGTTGCATATTAGGAAGGAGGGGTTTTCAGTGTAACTTCCAGGTAGATCCCCGGTAACAAGAATGGCAGTGGTGACAATAAACACCCGGAGTTCCTCAGTCTCAGTGTCTGAGTTTACCATCTTTCCCTGCCCAGCCTCTGGAGCTGGTAGGTACCTGAGCCAGGATGCTACACCAGTTGAGCCTGAAGTACCAAGTCCTGCTCTGGAGGTAAGAAACGCAACTTCAGGCATCACCTCCTGTCTTGCCCCACACATGGGCTGCTCGTGGGGCGGGGGGCTAAAGATCCTGAGAAGCTTATGTGGGAACCCTATGGGAGGGTGTGGGTACATCAGACACTGCACTTGGCAAAGACCCCTGTCCTCATCAGCACTCCTCAGGGTGCTGGATTCTCTGAGAAATTCCCCCTTCTTCTGGCAGGGAAAGCAAAACAAAAGAAAAGGCATTGGGTTGCAAAACTGCCTTTTTTCTTCTTGCCCTCTGTATGAGACCACATGGATTCTTGGCCCTGTCAACACTAGGAGGCAGTGATGCCACGGGCCTGCTCTGTCACTGAAGTGGGCAGATGTCACAGGGTCAGCAAGTCCTGAGGCCATGAGGCCGGCTGTTCCTGTGAGCCCATTGTCACCTGTTGATTTCCGCTCTACCTTGTTCTGGGGAAAGTTTGGGGTGATGAGCTACTCAAGGTCTCTTGGGGTCTCAGTTTGTCTATCCACACACTTGCTTTGAAGAGCTCATGAGAACTAAAGATCTCTGCAAAGAAAATGTGTCCTTCTGAATTTGCACTTTTCTCTATAGTGGTATACTATTTGTATTTTAATAAATAAATCTTGTCTGAAAACGAGAAAAGCAAAGCAGCCAAGCCACTAGAGAAGTTTTACATCTACCATGCCTGGGCAGTCTCAAACTAAACAGACTAAATCTCTCTCTCCTCCCATTTTATATTCCCTCTAGTGCTGGGATTAAAGGCATAGGACTCCCTAGTACTGGGATTAAAGGTGTGAGGCACCACCACCTGGATTTGTTTCTGTATTGGTCTTATGTAGCCCAGGGTGGCCGTGAACTCACAAAGATCCATCTGCCTGTCTCCCAGATCCTGGGATTAAAGGTGTGTGTCACCGTTATCTGACCTCTAGTGGCTTTAGCTTTGTCTCTGGTCTTCAGGCAAGATTTATTTAATAAAATACAAGTACTATACCACTATATCTCTCCATGAGGGATGACTTCAAAGTGATCTGAAAGGTCAGAATTGCACTTGGCTGTCGCATGCCCTGGACTGTATGCACAGTGGTTGAAGAGTCAAGAATAAGATTCTGGGCTTCCTCAGCTGCTTCTCAGGCCCGTGTTGTCTCCACACCCTCGCTACAGAGATTTTACCTGACAGACCAAAGTGAAACAAGCAACAAAGCAAACTGAGTTGTTTCCTGTGACAAAAGACGCAAAACCACTCTGCACCGAATCTGCAGTCTTCTCAAAGGTTCCCATGCCTGTCTGCCCAGTGCTAGGAACTTGGAAAACATTCATGCCTGGGTCCACCTTAGAAACCAGCACTAGCATTTGCATGTGTGTATGTGTGTGTGTTCACTTGTGTGTATGTGCATGTATGCCTGTGTGTGTATGTGTATGTGTGTGTACCTACACCTGAGTATGTGTGTGTATGCATGTGTGTGTGTGTACGCTTGTGTGTGTGTGTGTGTGTGTGTGTGTACGCATGTGTGTGTGTGTGTGCAGAGGCCAGAGGAGACATTTTTACATTATCCCTTGCAACAGGCTCTCCCACTGAACCTGGGGCTCACCATATTCAGCTAGGCTGATGTCCAGTGGACCCAGTGATACATCTGTCTCCCTCACTTGCAGTGTTAGGCTTGCTGCAGCCATGCCCAACTCTTGTGGGTGCCAAGGATCAGATCTTGGGACCTCGAGCTTGTGCAGCGAAAGTGCTCTTCCCCACTGAGTCACCACCCCAGCATTTCACAAGGGCCTTAAACACTTCAGTGCACAGTGTGTAGAGAACTTCCTATTTAAACAAAGAGACAGAGAAGTTAAAAAAAAAAACAGAGTACACCACCATGTAGAAAATTATATGCTCTGATTTTTGTAATTACAGGTTGCTATGGAAGCACAGAGGTAGAGCCACTTAGCCCAGCCCAGGAGGAGCTGGTAGAGGAGGAAACATCTCAGATGAGATTCCAAGATCAGGAATTAACCAGGTAAACCAGCGTTGAAGGAGCTGAGGTAAAGGAGTGAAATTAGAAAGGATGTGAGACCGGGTGGGTAGGAATGAGGCCTTGCTTTGCTGTTTCCTGAACTGTGAGAGCAGCCGTGACCCATCTGTGAGAAGCAGGGAGTATGGTGAGGGAAAGGACAGGTTTGTCCCTGGCAGCGGTGGCTACCGATGCTGAACCTCCGGACTTGGTCACACGGGAGACTCTCTGTGGAACTAAACAGGCTTGCTTATGGGAGGTTCACACAAGTCCTAGAAGCTGTTTCGACCTAAGAGCTTCTGCAGGCAGCTCATGGTGTGTGGAGTCTGTCTAAGCATCCCGTGGGCAGCACAGTCCTCCTGGGAGCAATGCGGGGTGGTGGTGGTGGGGAGCAATGGATGCCTCAGGACAATGGTGAGGGTGGGTGCTGCATTCTTTGCAACTTGCCAGCCTGTTCTGATTCCAGGGCTGCTTCCCACTCAAGAAGCTCATTTCCTCAGCTCAGCCCACCCGGACCAAGCCCAGAATCCCAGAGGTAAATTGATAGAAAATTGCCACTCACTGTGATCTGTTACTGCATCCCATTTTCTCATTTAAATAAAGCCCTATCTATCTATACTCATGTAAGAAACCCTTAAGTCAGACTCCTAAATTAATAATAATAATCAATGTCTCTCTCCTCTTTGTTAATTTCCCCTTCTCCTTCTTCCTTCTTCCTCTTCCCCCTTTCCTCATCCTCTTCTTCTTTCTCTCTTTCCCTCACCCTCCTATCATGAACAAGAGCCTCTTGATTATAGCCTAGTGGGATCTGAACTCATGACTTTCTTGCCTTCGCATTCTGAGTGTCGTGTGCCATCTTACCCAGATTCCCTTACGTTCTTATTAATAAACTTAGATTCTGGTGGAGTCCTTATAGATACCCGTGGACATCATCCGCTCCTAGGGACTTCCCCCATCTGGAGGGCCACTCATTTTCCTAATCATATACAGTTATGTGTCTCCACTCTCACAATCCGCTGAGGCTGACGTCAGATGCTGTCCTCGTCACCCCTCACTGCTTCTGTCTTCTCATATTCCTCTGTCGTTACTGGGTTGCCTCTTGGAGGTTTCTTTTCCTGCCTTCCTTAGCATAGTGTTGTTCCACAAAGATTTGAAGAAATTGTGCAAAGCTGTCAAATTTGGATTCTATTACTTTACTCTTGTTCATTTATTTATGACTTTCTGCGGTAGGGGGATTCGATCTGGAGCCTCACAAGTGCTCTACCTTTGATCCCCAGTCTTCATCTAAACTATTGGGGCTGTGTGATGGATTGTTTGCTGGATTTAGAATCACTGAGGAGAGGAATGTCTGGGTATGTCTATGAGCATCTTTATGGGTTGATTTAAAGTAAGGGAGAAGACAGCTCTGAGTGTGGGCAGTGCCACCCCATAGGTGAGGTCTTGCACCAAAGTGGGCATCAGCACCCATGAGTCCTTTGAACCTAGGATACTCTTTCTTAATTGACCTTTGTTAGGTATCTTGTCATTGCATAGGTAAAATAATTAATACAGGCTGCTTAGTGTTAAATATAACAGCATAGGAGAAAATATGTTGTAAACCATAAATAAATAAATGTTAAATAATGGCTGCAGTACACTTGTTTGAATGGCATGTAGAAACCAATGTTGGAGTGTAATGAAATTCTATCTCTAAACTCTCCTAGAAGCCCAGCATCTACTGCTGATCCTTCATAATTTATATTCTAAATACATGAACTACTGGGAGTTCATCTGGGATATGTGCAAATTAGTATTTGCCTCCAGGCTTCTTTTGTTATTTGTAAAATAGATATTTTCCTGTATACCAAATAAACTCTCCCTGCCCCACCCCTCCCGTCATTTCTCTTTGGAATTTTTCCATTGAACACATTCACGTTGAGTACCTCATTATAGTCTTTCCTTCCTTTGTCTCTCCCTCCTTCCTTCCCTCCCTCCCTCCCTCCCTTCTTTCCTTTCTCATCGTGTATTTATTGCGTTCTACTGTGTGATAGCTAGTCATCAAACAGTGGGCAAAATAGAGGGTTCATACCCTCACGAGTGTAGCCCAAGATTAAGTATGGCACTATGGAGCGAAACACATTAAAGTGGTCATATAAATAATAGCATCATGAGTAATAATGAAATATTAGTTGTATGGAGTGAGGTACCAGCTCAGAAGTTCATTGTGCAACAGGGATCTGACCAAGGTTGGAGGTCTGTGGTACGTGGGTGGTAGGATGACTTCCTTGAGGAGATACTGTCTTTGCACAGATGACAAAAAAGGGTTAATTGGATGGGGGATGGGTGATGAGGGGGTTCGGAAAGAGGACAGATGTCATGGGAGTTTGGGCGATGGATTTGTGACACCCACAGAAACCAGTGGGCTTCAATGGCAGAGGGAATTGGTAGATACCGAGGCTAGGGCTAATATATGTGAGCTATGGAGTGTATGTTAAAGATCTTTTCATTTTAGCTGAAATATTTTATTTAAAATATTCCATTTTATTTTATGTGTGTAAGTGTCTTGCCTACATGTATGTATGTGCACTGTATGTATGTACAATGCCTAGGATGGCCAGAAGTGGATGTTGGATCTCCTGGGATTAGAAGACAATTTGCACTGCCATGTGCATGCTAGGAATTGAACTTGGGACCTCTGGAAGAACTGCCAGTGTTCTTAGCTGCTAAGTTATTTCTCCAACCCCATGCTGAAAATATTATAATCAAAATGCAGAATGATATCAGATTTGTATGAGGTGAGTTAATAAAACCAAGGACCCATCCACGCTATCCTTCATCACCGAGAGAGCTTGACCTGTTAAGAGATTAATAAACTAGTGTGATTGTTACATTCGTTTATGAAGTGCCTGAACTTCTGAGAAAGTAGAAGGATATTGTTCTGTGTGAGAAGTCAAAGAAAGTTTCAAGAAAGCAACATTTGTGCTAGGCATTAGAAAGTGGTGTGGGAGCTGAGGGCGAAATTCTGGCCCTGCACTTGCCTAGCATGCCGGAGTCCTGAGTTGGGTCCCCAGCACCATGGATACCCAGTGCACACACATGCACCTTGACATAGGTCGGGGCTGCTCATAAGAGGTATAGAGAGAGAGAGAGTGCACATGTTGGAAAGGAAGCATTCCTTATCTGCTATAGAGCCACAAGCTAGCATCACACACTGCACGGATATTACATGCTCTGGCAGTCACTAGCTGTAGTTAGCAATATTCTTCCGTGCATGTGATAGCCTCGTCCTTTCTAGAAGACCCAAGTTGAGATGTGATCAATGATGGTAAGCAGATTTCTCCAGGCAGAAGATTTCATGCTTCTGCATGTTTTGACACATCCTCTCCTGCTTTTGGCCACTGACAATGTTCAAGGAGTAGACACCTCATCAGACTGTGACATAGGAGCACGGTGGTACCAGAGGTATCTGTGAAGGACAGGGCTGATGAGCAGGAAACCATGCTTTGTTCTAAGTCGCTGAGATCTGGAGCCGTTTGTTACAATGGTTCGATTCAGTTTGTCATGACTGCTGCAGGATCTGCTGACATCTACAAAGTGTGTGAGGTTTTACATCACATAGAGGCTGACTCCTTAGCCTGCGGCACCTGTGTGGGGGTTGGTAGAAGACGTGGAGTTTCCTGAGTTGGAGACATAGGACTTTGTGCTCATGGTAAGGCAAGCAGCCCGAGTTTCCTCATTGCATCGATGCCTTGGCCCTCAAAAGCCTGTTATGCAGAGCGGCCGTGACGGGTGCTCACCCAGTGAGTTTCTGTCATGACTGAGAAACTTCATGTTTAGGAAACCCCAGATGTTTACAATGGCTGGCACATAAGTCTGCCCAACTGTTTCCTAAACCCGAAAGCAAACAGGTCTTCCCTCCTGATCTGGAGAAAGGCATTCTTTTTATTTTCCAAAGTTGTTCACCATGCAAATACCCTTGAAGGGCGAGCTGGAGCAGCATCTGTCGGTGGAACGGCTCCCCAACAGCGTCTGTGGGTGGCGGCGGGGTAACGAGTGGTAGGAGCTCTTCTGAGCAAAATTAGGGGGAATTTTGTTGAAGATTGGAACTTTACCCAGTGGGCATCAAGGAACCCTCAGTGGTTCTAAAATGGGTGCTATGTGGTCGATGGGATGGATGGGGGGCAGTAAATTAAGGCTAAAGACACAGGTTTTGGAGATTTGTTGTTTTTGTTTCTGTTTGAGACAGGGTCTCTGTGTAGTTCTAGCTGCCCTGTAGTTTGCTATGTAGACAAGGCTGGGTTAAACCTGCCTCTGCCTCCTGAGTGCTGGATTTAAAGGATTGCACCCCTACACTGGGCTAAGTTTGGTTGTTTTTTTTTAACAGATTGAAGGGAGTTGAAGCTCCCAGACTCAGCGTGTACATAGATAAATTTTATAACCTTTAAAGTCTAGTCCAAAATATATCATAGTAGAAACTTTTTGATAAAGAACTTGTGTTAGTCATTTTCCTTGTTGTTGCCAATAGGAACAGCTTGAGTAGGCAAGGAGTTGTTTAGACTTGTGGTTTCAGAACAGACCCCGGTCCATCCTGGAGGAAAGGCCTAGCGGTGAGAGCCCAAGGCAGCTGATTACATTGTGTCCACAGCCCAGTGGCAGATCTGAAAACCAGCATTCCGCTGCTCGCTCTCCCCCTTTTCGTTCAGTCCGGGATCCTAGCCCAAGGAGGCTGTACAACATTTAGGGTGGGTCTTCGCTCTTTAGTAAACTCTTTTTGAAACTCTCTTATAGACATATCCAGAAGTGTGTCCCTCCTAGGTCACTCTAAATCCAGTCAAAAGAGAAGACCCATCACAGAAATCAAACGTCGATGTACAAGAAATAAAAGAGGAGGAGTCATACTTTGCTTGAATTCTCCACGAGAGACCTGGAGCCTTCCCTCTCGCCCATTCCAGGAGAGATTCAGGGAACCCTCTGTGGAGTCCCTGCAGTCTAGAAAACACACAAAGATCTCATTTTCCTTGTCCAACTTAGGACAGAAGGAATTGCTCTCTCAACATTTGTTTTGCTTGCTTTTGGTTTTTGAGACTGGATTTCTCTGTATAGTCCTGACTGTCCTGGAACTCACTCTGTAGTCCAGGCTGGCCTTGGACTCAGACATCTGCCTGCCTCTCTCCAGAAGGCTGGGATTAAAGGTGCATAGTACCACTGCTCGGCTTCTCTCAATATTTTGATTTGATCGTTTGGCAGCTTCTTTCACTTGACACAGGATGCAAACCACGGCCATCTCTGTGTTCCCTAAATTCAAGGTAACACCTGCCATGATGCCGCGAGTGTCTGGGGAATTTAATTGAATTGATATGGAAAATACATCAATGAGTAACTATAGAATTACTCATCTTGGAAATCTTTTCCTTTTAAACTTGGTTAAATATAAAAGATAGTCCCTGCGACCTAACCATGGGAAAATAAGGACCAAGGATGAAGCAAACAACAACAACAAAACAAAGAACAACAGTATTCTGTGGAAATTCGATGGAAATTTAGTTTGTCTATGGA